CTTATGACCTGTAAGAGGATAATTCTGTAGAAATATACCACTGCTAATTAGGGATGTGAATGAGTAGTCAACTAGATGACTGATAAGTATAGACTTAATCTAATCAGCTACTCACATTTCCCCCCTTCTGCTTCTGTTAGAGGCAGCAGATTGGAGGGGGGAGGAAACCCAAGGAGGCTACCGTGAAGTAGCCTCTGCTTGCTGAGGGCCCTGAATTGCCACGGACAGAGGCTGCTTCATGGCAGCAATCCCTGGCTACGGCAGGCCAAGGTTCACTATGGATGCAGCAGATGGGGCTGCTGCAAACGCAGAGCAGCAGGCAGCTGGTCTGTGAGGGGAACTGTTTTTTAAACTGTCTCTCCTCACAGACTGGCTCCTGCCTGGCACCCTGTGCTGCTGCCAGCAGTGCAGGGGTGCACAGGTCTCCCTGGGAGGGGGGTTTACATGTACTGGCTGCCAGTCCCGCCCCAGGAGACTGCAGAATAGTCAACTAAAAGTTAAGAATTCATGCAATTGGTTGACTATTCTATTACCTGATGTCTAACACCCCTACTGCAAATGCACAAAACAAGAATTGTCAGTTCCGTATTAGATGGAGCAAATGAAAAGAATTTGCTTTAATGGGTCTAGGCTTCAAGTTTTAAACAGGAGGATGCACATGGCACACCTGTAAACTAAATTATCAGCAAGCAATGAGGGAGTGACTTGTTCAATCTGTAAAATGGCTACCAAAAGTGTTTACAATTCCTCGCCACTTGCTGGATCATGCCCACATCTTGCAAACAGTTAATGGAGACATCAGCTATTTGGTGCAAAGTAGACAGAAATTAACTTTCTATATATTATAGCATATTGCTTATTAACTTCAATGCAACTGTTAATGTAAAGAGTAATTCTGTTCAGTACAATAGAATTACTTTGTGAAGCATCACCACGCTACACTGCAGGATAAAAAAGAAGTTAGCTAGTGTCCCCACTGTGGTGTAATGCACTCTTCTTTCTATGCTAGTTCACTGTATAGAATGCCAGAAGAAAATCCCTAATTTACATTTTGGAGGGATTCTAACAGCTCTTTGCTTTCCATCATAATGGCCACACTCCGATTACACAGTATACTCTGCTCTCACTTCCCAAACAGAGTAAAAAAACTGAAAGAGTGAGGTATTCTTTATTCATGTGACCATGAAGGAACATCCCAACTTTCAGTACTACAAGCCCACAACTTCCTGATTAAGACATGTTCAACTCATCTTCGGTGGATAGTTATTGAATGACAGCAGCAGCTTTGTTATCTACTTCAACGGTGCTTTTAAAGTTTTACTGCAGTATGCTTCTCCTTGTCAAATGTTAGCTGCTTAATGTGCCATATTCTGAGATCTCAGTACAGCTAAGGCAGAGAAGAAATTTTTGTTTTGCTTGTAGAAGCAAAGTTGTATAGACTATTGCAAATCTTCCCGGTGGTCTGAATTATAAACAAGCATTCTTCATTCTACTCCTTTTTTGCTATTACAGCATTGAGCAATCAGTGGAAACTAAAATTGTCCTCCAGCCCCTTCTTTCAACAAAGTCCTCATACTAGGAGTAATGAGGTTGCATATTGTAGTAACTAATCTTCTCATCCTAAAAATTTGGCCAAGTTTTTCAGATGTGACTTTGGGTATCTAACTTGACACACCTTATCATATTTTAATTCTCAGAAAGTGCTGACCTCCCATCCTTGGAAACCAGGCCATTCTGGTGTGTCAAGTTGGTCACCCCCCACCCTTCCCCCAAAAAACCCTTCTAGTCACTTTTGAAAACCTTAGTATTTTGTGCTCCTTGGTCTTTCCTCCCTGCCCCATGGTATTTGTCCTCAGTTAGCTTATTACTAATGGTAGGGTAGAGAAAAATATATATTGTCATAGGACCTACCTGTCTTAGGGGCTGAGCATTGCCCTCCATGTTCAGAAAGAGGTTGGGGGAACGAAATACAGTCCTCTGAAATCTCTCACTTCAACCTCTATGATCCATAGTGCAAATTAATAAGGTCCGAAGCTGTGTGAAGCTATACAGTGTTGCCTTCATGTTTTCTGAGAGGGCACTCCAAAGAGCAGCTTCTGCAAAAACATGGTTTCTGCAAAAAACACGTACAGAAGAGGGTAGTGGAACAGAGAAGAGGTGCACCATCAGGGACATTTTTTTTTAAACTTCTGAAGGCTCTGAAATCTGAGTGAATCCTGAGGGCCCTTTGATTTAAGGAGGCAAAAGTTTTTTCTCCCACAGAAAGGATAAGGGGAAGGGTAAAGAGGGTAGAGACAAAGATTCAGAAAATGAGACTAAACCCTTGAGGAATTTGGAAAGTGCTGAGTAAACCAAAATTCCTCGCTAGTGAGCATTTCAGTACAGAGCACACAGTGGTGCTTAATGTTTCTTGCCCGATTATACATCCTCATGTTCTCATGGGAAGTGATTGTCTAGGAAGCAGAACTGCTGAAAGGGATCTAGGGGTCATAGTAGATAAGTTAAGCATGAGTCAACAGTATGACGCTGTTGCAAAAAAAGCAAACATGATTTTGTGTTGCATTAACTGGAGTGTTGTGAGCAAGACATGAGAAGTCATTCTTCCCCTCTGCTCTACACTGCCTTAGATGGAGTACTGTGTCCAGTTCTGGGCACCACACTTCAAGAAAGATGTGGAGAAATTGGAGAGGGTCCAGAGAAGAGCAACAAAAATGATTAAAGGTCTAGAAAACATGACCTATGACTGAAGACTGAAAGAATTGGGCTTGTTTAGTTTAGAAAAGAGAAAACAGAGAGGGCATGATAGCAATTTTCAAGTACCTAAAATAGTGTTACAAGGAGGAGGGAGAAAAATTGTTCTCCTTGGCCTCTCAGAACAGGACAAGAAGCAATGGGCTTAAACTGCAACAAGGGAGGTTTAGGTTGGACATTAAGAAAAACTTCCTAGCTGTCAGGGTGGTTAAACACTGGAATAAATTGCCTAGGAAGGTTGTGGAATCTGCATCACTGGAGATATTTAAGAGCAGGTTGGGCAGACACCTGTCAGGGATGATCTAGACAGTTCTTGGTCCTGTCATAAGGGCAGGGGACTGAACTCGATGACCTCTCTAAGTCCCTTCCTCTTCTGTGATTCATATAGCAGTAGGGATGTTAGGTTTCGTATAATTGAAACCTAACATTGTGTAATCACACAAATATTGTTGGTTACACAACTGTTAGATAATTCCCAGGGGCGGGGCTGGTCGTCTGTGCAATCTGGCCTCACTCAGAGGCAACAGGGGGAACTTGGGAACCAGTTTTAAAACCAGCTCCCTGCACAGATGGGCTGCCTACTGCCTCACACTGCTGCCTCTGATACAGAGGCAGCAGTGCGGGGTGGCAACAGCCCCTGTCTGCGGGGCGCTTGGACCCCCTGCTGACAGGGGCTGGCACGCCCCTCCGCCCCACTGCTGCCTCTAATAGAGGCAGCAGCACAGTGGGATAGGTACAAAGGCGGCACCAGGCAGTTAGTGCTAAGGGAACCAGATACAGGGGCAGCAAGGATTGGGGGAATGCGAGTAGTTGACAAGATTGACCAATAAGCTTGTAGTTTTATCCATTAATCATCTAGTCAACTACTTGTTGACATACCTATATCGCTGACTGGGGCCTCTGCACAGCAGCACTATCACTATGAGCCACCACAATAAAGTAAGAAGGGCTGCTTATCTGGGTGGATACAGTTCAACAATCTAATTTTGTGTTCACAATATTTTTTGCATTTTCAGATCTACTCTGCCAGCTGTGAATAGTAGCTAACTTAATAAAGATGGAAGCCAAGACAAAGTATCTGTTATTCATTAACTATTATGAGTACTCATGAAATTTAGAGCATACGGTCTAGGGCAGGTGTAAAAGTATTTATGTACTTAGATCAGGGTCTCAAACTCACAGCCCATGGGCCGTCTGCATCCTGAACAATTCCACAATCCAGTCCACAGACAGCTGCTGGCACATGAGTCCCCCCAACACCATGGAGAGAGTGTACATACCCTATCCCCAAATCCAGCTCCTGCTCCACCCTGGCCCCACCTCTTCCTACTTCTGCTTCCCCCCCACCAAGACCCTTCCCCCAAGGGGCCTTGAGCATTACCAGGAGAGCTGACGCAGGGTAGCAGCAGGAGTTGGGACCCCCCTTCACTCACCATGGTGGTGGGAGCTGCAGGGAAACAAAGTGACACAGAAACCTCTGCTCTACTCCGCTGCCCTCTCCCAGGCCAACCCAGTTGCTCTGCTTCACTGCAGCAGCAGGAAGAAGAGCAGCCCAGACCCAGCACTGGCTGCTGCTTAGCTCTGCTTCCCCATAGCCACCGTGGTAAGTGCAGGGGAGGGAGGGAGGAGGGGCTCAACTTCTGCTGCTGGTTCCAGCCTTACCAAGGTCCCACAGGCTAACCTGAGTATGGAGGACCATCTCATCCATTGGTAGGCTGAGGTGGGCGCCATGAAGCCTGGGGGTAGACATGCCAAAATGTCCCATGAGGCTCTGCACACACAGGGCCGTGGCAGCCATGGAACAGAGCTAACATCTGGAAGCTGCTCTAGTCTTGTTGTGCTACCAGTGATGGAGCCAGGAGTCCCTGAGGTGTGTGTTAAGTTTCCTAGGGGTGACACACATGACTGGAGAACAGACAGGGGAATGTACAGATACCCCCTCTCCACAGCCCTGCCAGAGCATAGTGTCCATTGGGCCACTAGGAGGATCCGAGGATTGGCACTGGACTGAAGGTAAAGTGATTTTGAGACACCTGATGCAGAACCTACCAAGATTGCATCCTCCTGTTTATCCTTAATATTGACTAAGCCTTAGTGGATCTTGCTCTAGTTTTAAATGGATTTAAAGGATAACATTTCAACCATCACAAGAGTGGCTATTTACCTCTTTTCAGAACCCCTTAAAGAATATTTAATTGTTTTTGGTATTTAAAAAAGAATGAGAACATGAGAGAACATTTATATTTGCAACCTTCTTTGATGAAGAGTAGTATGTAAAAAGCATGCTGCATGACTAGTAAAAGATTAGCAAAATTCCCAGTCCTTTCAAATCAAAGTGATATTATGAATTCTCAAAGGAAAGAAAACAAGGCAGGATTTACAACCTAGCCCCAAATATTTCACCTGTACATTTTCACTCAAAGACCAGGAGGAGTCAAAATTTGAGATGTGATATTAGTGATTGTAGGGTAAACTGAGGCAGTCCATGGTATCCTGCTGTGAAAAGAGAACTCAAATCTGAAATCATTAGGCCAGGCCTGGGCAGCGCACAGACAGGCAGCTACCGTAACCCTAGTTCCCCTGGCATCCACATACCACAGGGGCCTCACTCTGATAAGGCCTGTACCAAACAACTGCGCGGGATTGTTTTTTATTGTCTGCTTTATTCCTAGAAAATAAGCTTGGATCCCAAAGATCGCACCAAGGCAATACCACCCCCGCAGGAGACGCATTATATTTCTGGCCGACAAAATGACCAACAACATGCCTTTGTTTATGTAGCCTTATTTAGCTTGTTAGGAATAATTATTTGTATTAGTGATAATATGTTTAATTGGCGATGCGTGGGGATCCTGTGTAACCTTCATATTTTATTGGCTTATGTGCATATCTCATTTCTGCAGCTAGACCTATCAAATTACTTCCCCTCCGCCCATCTGCTGCCTATATAATCTAATGTATGTTTTGGTTAAGTCAGTGCTTACCAGGCTAACCCCCTGATGGGCACTCCAGCAGCTGTGTGAACCAATACATCCTCTGCTTGTTTTCACCTGCACCCAGTGTGTCCGGAATTATTCCCTACAGTGATCACAAATTGCCAAGTTTTTCTGAGAAACAAATTTCTTTCAAACAAATCAAGATTTAGGTATTTTAAACCATTACATATGCCTGAGTGAATGAGTGGACAATTATTTTCAACATCTGAGACTATTACATTGAACCATATGTCTTAGGGTATGTCTACACTACAAAGGTAGTTCAAACTAATGGACGTTAGTGCGAACTAACTTTCATAGGCGCTACACTAGCGCTCCGCTAGTTCGAACTTAATTCGAACTAGCGGAGCGCTTAGTTCGAACTAGGTAAACCTCATTTTACGAGGATTAAGCCTAGTTCGAACTAGCTAGTTCGAATTAAGGGCTGTGTAGACCCTTAATTTGAACTAGTGGGAGGCTAGCCCTCCCCAGCTCTCCCTGGTGGCCCCTCTGGCCAACACCAGGGAAACTCTATTGCCCCCCTCCTGGCCCCGGAACCCTTAAAGGGCCACGGGCTGGCTACACAGTTTGTGCCAGTTGCAAGGCTGCCAGCACCCAGCCAACAGACCCTGCACCTGCCACAACATGAGCCAGCCACCCGAGGACACCCAGCCCTCCACTGCTCCCCAGAACCAGCCTGGCGGCTCCCAGGAGCCTGCTCGGGGGCGCAAAAGGCGGGCGGCCGCTTGGTCAAGTCGGG